AACTGGAAAGTGACCTGAGATGACATGATGTGAATCGGTGCTATAGAAATAAACTGAATAGAATTTAACTGAGTTTTTCTCTCCTTCCAGAGCCTCCGCTCCCGCTCGGTTCTGGTTGTTTTGGATTTTGGACTCCTGCCTTCCGTTCTGATGTTACGCCCCTGAAAATGAGGAGGAATTATGACAGTGAAAAGAGACGTTTCCTGAGCCAGAATCTTTACTCTAATTAATATCTTGTTTACAACAATGAACAGTTTACAAAGTTTTACAGCAAAAAATCGCTGGATATAGAGAGTGCACACATTCTAATAATAAAATATTTTACCTGAGGCATAATCCGTAACAACAAGCAACAATACTTTAGTTGTATTCATAATTTGACTTTTCAGGATTGTTCTTTATATATTTTAGATTCTAAAGCCTAAAAAATATATAAACTGTATGGATCATTTTCATATGTTCCCCTGCTGTGAAACAACAGTTGCTGCTGGAATGCATCATTGTAGTCCTATTAATTTTTGCTGAACCTCTATAAAGTGATCTTTTCAATCAATGATAATGTTAAACACTATTAGTAAATAATCATCTTTGCCAAAGAGATGAGGTCATCTGCTGCTGAGAAGCAGCACCAGTACAGGGCTCAGTGGGATGCCAGTCTGGACAGAGGAGATTCTCTCTTTAAGGAATACAGACGGCGAGGGAAGGGGAAGATGGTTCAAGGTTTGAGTGAAAGGCAGACGAGACAGAAGAGGAGTTATGGGAGAAGAGAAAGAAGAAAAGCGATGGAGGAGCAGGTTCACCCAGCCCAGAGTTCTTAACAAGTTCATCCTCTGATGTCAAGGCTGGAATTTATTTAACAAAAAGCTTTTAGAAAATAGATTTGACTACAAAACGATGGTAGGAAGAGTAAAGTTGTAAAGCTGATCCTCCATTTGATTAGCATGCAATATATGGAGCATTTCTGAAGATATGTTTTATTTTAAATAAACCAACATCCTTTCACCAAATATGCTTTACACTCATCTGTAATCCAAGCACTTGATTCAACTGAACCAGCAGCACCGGTGAAACCAGAAACTTCTACTGGGACACAGCCAGGGTCCCTATGTCCTCCAGCAGTCTAAGCCTATAGCAGCAGAACTATAGAGATAGATCAGGATAACCTGAGCCACTCTA